GACCAAACTTCAGCAGTCAAATGGTACATACAAGTAACCTATTGTACTTATGCATAGGAATAGCATCTGTTTGATGAACATCCTGTTCTAAAATCAATTGTGATAAGGACTAGTTACCATAATCTAACAGATTACAGTTAATAGGAGCCATTTAAAACACTGAGGTAGGTCATTCTAACAGCTATAATTTGTAAAATCTATGGGTTCCAAGCCAACATGGGGGGCAAAGGGAGAAAGCATTAGCTTCTACCAATTAGTCAATACTGAAAATAGACTGGTAATGCGAACAACTGAGTGAATGTGAAGAAAAAAAACGAGAACGTCACAGGATGTAGTGAGGGTTGACGTGACAGCACTATTATTACTTGCTGGTTAAACGGTCTCATATTGCTGTACAAGCACGAATCTCAACCATTCATCAGAGACAACATACCAAGCGTTATAAATAACTGTAGTGCTCGTACACAAAAGACTTGTGCTTTACTAGGGTGGATAAATAAGCTATTCGGGGTAAGTCGCAAAGACTAGTCTGTTTCAGACTGCAGAGAAGAGCATTTGGTGAAGTTTCTTCATCTGGTGGGGCAATGGACATTGTGCTAGCGCTCCATATAGCACTCTCTCTCCCTTTGACAGCTGACTGAAGATGAACATAGTTCTCCTCTGTGTGTAGTTTACAAGACCCTTCTTCTGAACTCTAGGGGGGGGAAAAAAATCACAAAAAATATATAAATATTTATAAGGCACAGCCTAATTCTAACATCAGAGGACATAGCATATAAACTAGTGTCATCTCACATTCTGCAACTGTAATAGTCTCCCAACACTATTGCCAAGTGACTTGTGCATTGTCTACCAGTGATATAAACCTGAAGTAAATACAGTCAGTTGGATGAAGTTAAGTTAAATACCCCATAGGCTTAGTCTTTTCGTTTCAAACATATATAACATTAGAACAGGCAGAAAAAAGACTTGCATCTATCAGGTTTAGCCTTTCTCACGTCTGTTTTTCCTGTTGATCCAAAAAAATGCTGTCCAATTTCGCAACAAACCGAAACCCCTCATATACAGTTGTGCTCAGAAGTGACCTCATATACAGTTGTGCTCAGAAGTGACCTCATATACAGATGTGCTCAGAAGTGACCTCATATACAGTTGTGCTCAGAAGTGACCTCATATACAGATGTGCTCAGAAGTTTGCATACCCTAGCAGAAATTGTGAAATCTCGGCATTGATTTAGAAAATATGACTGATCATGCAAAATAATGTATTTTATTTTATGATAGTGATCATATGAAGCCATTTATTAGTTGTTTGGCTGCTTTTTTAAATCATAATGATAACAGAAATCACCCAAATGGCCCTGATTAAAAGTTTACATACCTTTGAATGTATGGCCTTGTTACAGACACACAAGGTGACACACACAAGTTAAAATGGCAGTTAAGGGTTAATTTCCCACACCCGTGGCATTTTAAATTCCACTTGCATTCCAATCACATTCCACTTGCTTAACAGAACATACAGTGTCAGGAATAGTGAATTCCTCACACTATAGTGTTTAACTAACTATATTTAGGTCATCGGCCCCTTTCTGATCACATGGAAAAGGTTTACTTAGCTTTTTTTTTTTCCCAGCACTGCTGATGATTGGATGATCTTAATGATCTTAGCCAATTCAGTGCTTTCCCATAGATTGGGAGGCTATTACGCATGCGCAGAAAAAACGCCATGCTGCGCCAATAAGCAACTTCTCTTAGAGATGCATTGAGTCAATATATCTCTATGGGAAGTGCTCAGCATCTGCATGCAGTGCCGTGCAATGTGCAGCACTCGATCAAGAAGCACCTCTAGTCGCCATCTCAGTGACTGCCACTAGAGGTGTTCCTAGGCAGCAATGTAAACGCTGCCTTTTCTATGAAAAGGTAGAATTTACAGTGCTCAGTTTGCAGGGACAGACTATAAACACCAGAAGCTACATTTAGCTGTAGTGCTTCTAGTGACTATAGTGTCCCTTTAATATTTGGATTTAACCCATGTCTGACATTCGAACATACCCCTTCAACCTCTTCTATTTATCTATCCAATGTGTATCCATTTAAAGAGCAACTGTCACCTCAAAACCATTTTTAACATAATAATCCCTGTCAAGATTTGAAAGGAAATATATCTCTTTCTAAATGAAGTAAAGAGTTGTGGATTTAAAAAATTATATATTAATATATTTGCCCATGGCACTAAAGTGGTAGCCCAATCAACTTCTCTCCATCATGACAATCTACCTGTCCTGACCCCAAGAGCCCTGGACATTGTGAACATTCATTAAATAGTCCTGTCAAAGTAGATCAGAAAGAGAAAATGGAGGTGTCTCATGGATGGTGTCTCACCCTCTGTCCTCCTATTGTCTCCCCTTTTTCATAGTGTGTGCTTGCCATGTGTCATCGGGGTATGATGTGTGCTTGCTGTGTGTCATGTATGTGCAGTGAGTGCTGGCTGTGTGTCGTGTGTGGTGTGTGTACAGAGAAAACTTAGTGCAAGTTTGGTGAATGCTGGCTTTCAGTGACAGATGGTAAAGTTTTAAGATGATGGGGCGCCAGACCCCCAGAATTTTACTCCTGTCTGTACAGTACAGAGATTGAGAGCAGAGCATAATACAGAGATGTCTACACATATATACATATATATATTATATTTTTGTTATTTTATATATATATATATATATATATATATCTCATTGAGCTGAGTACAATACAGAGATAACCATGCCACAAACAGAACTAAGAAAAAATAGGGATTTAATACACAGTGCTGGACACAACAAAAAAATACCCATACAATACACAGAGCTGGGTAAATAAGGAGATACTCCTAACTATTCCACACAGCCAGGATGACCATGATGGATTAAACAGAGCTGCAATACAGATATACCCACAAAGTAAATGTCTCAAAATGTAGCTTTCTTTTAAATATTGCTGCTCTTAAGAAATATGTCAGATACTCCATTAGCTCTCAGCACATAGTGTACACATAGTTAAGGCATCAATATACTGATAGTTTCCAAACACTTCAGTTACCTGACTCCCTAATAGCTCTCAGCACACAGTGTGCACGGGGTTAAAGCAGCAGAATACTGATAGACTCGGTATTACCTTTGCAGATGGCAGTATAACTAATCTGCAGTGGGAATATGTACCACTGCAGATTAGTTATATTGCCAGCTGGATGGTTAACAGAAGCAACAATCATTACAGATTAAAACACATTGAAATCAGAATGAGATCAGTCCTCTGAGTCACAGCCCCAGTCCCACAGTTCCCCACGCCGGCGCCATGCACGCCAGGCTGCCTGCCAATCATTTTAACCATCCCACTGAGGTCTGACCCTGATATAAGCACTGCTTCAGTGGTCCCTGTTAGGTCCTAGTGCCCTATTCATAGCACAAGTACATCTATTGAGGCGTGAGGATGTCCAGCGTCATTTAACGGAATCAAACTCAGTAAAAAGCCAGTAAGTACTTCTAGTAGCTTTTTGGTAGACAGCTTCTAAAGGCAGGCTCAATCTGCAGTGTAAACATTGCAGTTGTTCTGAAATTGCAATGTTTGCAGCTGCAGGGCTAAAATGACACGGACATTGCACCCAGACCACTTCAATTAGATATCCTAGATTGTCCCTTTAACCCCTTAAGGACCAAACTTCTGGAATAAAAGGGAATCATGACATGTCACACATGTCCTGTGTCCTTAAGGGGTTAAGGAGCAAACTTCTGGAATAAAAGGGAATCATGACATGTCACACATGTCCTGTGTCCTTAAGGGGTTAAGGAGCAAACTTCTGGAATAAAAGGGAATCATGACATGTCCTGTGTCCTTAAAGGGTTAAAAGAGATGGTGGGTATGTACAGTAGGAGTTATTAGAACTATTAGTGACAGGCAGCACAGGGCTTTGTGTCAGAAATGGCCCCCTCACCTTGTCACCCCTGGGCATTTCTGGATTTATGTATTTGAGTAAATTCCCTTGCGTAAATCCCCCAGACCATGGGACTATTGGGAAAAATAAATATATATATATATATATTATACTTGTATTTGGCAAGGGCCAAGAGCTGCTTCTCTACTTTATTTTTGCTGCTTTCAATATGGCTTCTTGATTCTCTCTCCTAAAGGGCACTGTAACCACACCCCCTAGTGCTATCAGCCAATGATTGCCCCAGAAGAGGTGAGGCAAATAGCATGCTGGCTCTGCTGTCCAAATGGCAACTCAATGGGAATTCCTACAAACTCCTTCTTGAAAGACACTAGGCATGTGCAAAACTTGCTGAAACAGGGCAGATTTAAAAGCAGCCACATTGTTTAGACATGCCTTGATGCTCTCAAACAAGTTTATCCAACAGCTACAACGAGGGGCAAGGGCCCTTTAGAACTGAAACCTATTACAAAATTATAGAGATATTAATTTTATCCCATATATATTTGGCTTACCACCCTCCCCTTCAGAAAAAGAATCTTAGTGCTTCTAAATGATTGCAAATATTTTTCCCAAATAAAAAATGATGGGCAAGCTTACATTGGTTCCCATCAAAATTATGAAAATATATATAAATAAAATGAAAGGGATATTCAAGGTACTATATCCATTTCATCTTACTGAATTGGTTATAGTGCCTAGGGTCCCCTGAGATGACGTGGATAATGCCTAGAAAGGCCCTTTAAATTAAGAAATGGACTTGCATATCTTTAAACAACATGAGGGTTCCATGATTTTTTGGTCTTTAGCAGTAATGGTCAACATCCATGTTCTACCAGGCTGCTTAGAAAATGGTTAATTCAGATGCACACCTGTTTCCAATCTTGGGTGTTCACAATAAACTGGACCTTAGACACTAGAAAGGCGATAAACAAGCAGCTAATAACGATATGGGTTTACCATTGTAACTCTCTCTTGTGTTATATTTACAGAGCCAGATCTTTCTCAGCCCCCATGTTACGAAGAGGCATTGCTGATGGCTGAACCACCGCCACCTTACAGTGAGGTGCTCACTGACACACGTGGTATTTACCGAAAGATCCTCAACCCTTTCCTAACTGTCCAGGATGAAGTGGTAAAACCAGAGCAACCCCTGAGCCATAAACAGCATCTGGCAGCACCGGCACACACTCAGCCTCTTCCCGGAGCCCTGAGCTCACAGATTCCCGTCAGCCTTTCACAGGAAGTACATAGGCCAAGACCACCATCCTGGGCTGGCTCCGACATAAGTAGTGGAGGACTGCACAGACTGCCTGGGGGCTGCCAGCTCATCTTCCCTATTCCTCTTCTGGGCAGGACTACAGCTGTTTAAACCAACCAGATGGATCGATACCTCTTAGCTGCTATAGTCCAAAAGTGAACTTTAAGAGGCTTGGGGGTTTCTGAACCACTTAATAAATACCAGATTGGAATACTTATAAGTACAGTATTTAAAATGTCATCACTGCCCCATTGACAACATCCATTGTTTCAAACAAACAAAAAAACAAATACAGTTCCTGCACCAAACAAAACAAGAACTACAGAACTTTCATCGAACTGCGGGAGAAGAAGTCATAGAATGTACGACAGAAACATTCTAGAACACAATCACTAAGGAAAGGATTTTGAGAGCAGACAAATTCCACTCTCTAGAGACACACGTGGACTGCAAGCCATCTTTATTTATTTGTTTTTGTTTCTGTTTTATTTATCATACTCTTTTTGTGGGATTAAACTTTAAAGTATCAGCCATTGTATGTGTAACGGTCAGCTACCATGTGCAACCACAGCTAGAACAATGTGTCCATTTCTGTGTGTTGTACACACTGTGCGCGTGGACGAGAGAGCCACATTACTTTATGTCACGCAGATCTTCAATATGTTTAATCTGAAAGGGCTTCACATTGAAAATCTAGTAAATTCTGAGTTATTATTTGGCAAATGATGACGTGCTTTTGTCATTTACCAGGTTCCGTTGTCATACTGTTGATATTGAAATTATCTTCACGGAGGTAAATAATGTGAATTTCCATTTTATACGAATGTATTATATTCAGTGGTTGGGATTCATCAAGTGATTATACTGGGGTTAATATACAAACCCAGCTTTAAGTCATATGCCTTTAAAGGAAACCCAGCAGCTAATTTATTCTGAAATAGTGAAAGATGGCATGGTGTCTGAAGGGATCTCTTTAAGGGAAATCCAGAATAAAAAAATAAAAAAAACTGCATTGCAAGAGTTCAACTTTCCCCAGGTTGCCACATTGACATATGGGAGAGATTCACTCAGGGCTGATGTCCAGTTTGAAAACCAGACCTAAAATCTCTTTTGAATTGAATGTCTGATATTTTTTGTGATTTTAGCACTTTATTAAAATAATATTGGCACTTAAAATATTAATAATAATCTGGATTCTCTACTGTATCATTCTGTGCATTGTCATTTTCATCCCTGAGAATATGTCAACTATATTGTATTTAAATGGATTCCAAAATGAACAAAAAAAATACTTAATACTTTTTCCTATACATTAGGTTAATGCATGAATTACTCAGACATGAGGGTTGCAAGGGTTGATTCCTTTACAAGGCTAAGTCAGCCTTTGATCCTTCAGATGTCAATAAAACAACTGCAACTGACTATGGTAATAATAAATAATAACCTGCATCCCAGGACATGATTACAAACAAAATGAAATCTCAACACGGTAAAGCAATTTTGATTATTCTTAAAATTCCCCAAAAGAGGTTGCTTTCAAGGGCTGAAAGTCTGAAGTTCAATCATCTGTCTGTCAGTATATCATGTCTGACCAATACTTAGGGCCGTTTTTGTTACAGGTGAGTGTCAGGGGTGTTGCTATTAATATGCGCACAAAGCTACACGGATACACACAGACACACACAAGTATACACATGTGCACACAATAACACACACACAGACATACATACACTGACAGAAAAAGGCTTGCATATATACAGACAGACATGCGTTGATACAGACACACAAATTCAGAGACAGACAAACAAACACAGGAATACAAAGACACAGGCAGGGACACACATTTGCTTATAAAAAAAAATAAAAAAAGACAGCTACTGATGCTTGAAGTGATGGTGTTCCGGGGCCAGGGCAGCCACCAGAAATTTTGGGGCCCCTGACAAAGCACAAGGTCACGGCCCCCCACACTCCTCCCACTCCCCCCGCCGGCTGGCCTCCCCCTCTGCAATGAATGCAGTGTGTGTTAGTGCAATGAATGCAGTGTGTGTGTCAGTGTAATGAATGCAGAGTGTGTGTTAGTGCAATGAATGCAGTGTGTGTGTCAGTGCAATGAATGCAGAGTGTGTTAGTGTAATGAATGCAGTGTGTGTTAGTGCAATGAATGCAGTGTGTGTGTTAGTGTAGTGAATGCAGAGTGTGTGTTAGTGCAGTGAATGCAGGGTGTGTGTTAGTGTAGTGAATGCAGAGTGTGTGTTAGTGTAGTGAATGCAGAGTGTGTGTCACTGTAGTGAATGCAGAGTGTGTGTTAGTGCAGTGAATGGAGTGTGTGTGTTAGTGTAGTGAATGCAGAGCGTGTGTTAGTGCAGTGAATGCAGAATGTGTGTTAGTGTAATGTGTGTTAGTGTAATGAATGCAGAATGTGTGTTAGTGTAATGAATGCAGTGTGTGTCAGTGTAATGAATGCAGTGTGTGTTAGTGTAATGAATGCAGTGTGTGTGTCAGTGTAATGAATGCAGAGTGTGTGTTAGTGTAATGAATGCAGTGTGTGTGTCAGTGTAATGAATGCAGTGTGTGTGTGTCAGTGTAGTGAATGCAGTGTGTGTTAGTGCAGTTAATGCAGTGTGTGTATTAGTGCAGTGAATGCAGTGTGTGTGTTAGTGTAATGAATGCAGTGTGTGTGTCTGTGTAATGAATGCAGAGTGTGTGTTAGTGCAGTGAATGCAGTGTGTGTGTGTGTGTCAGTGTAGTGAATGCAGAGTGTGTGTTAGTGTAATGAATGCAGTGTGTGTGTGTGTCAGTGTAGTGAATGCAGAGTGTGTGTTAGTGTAATGAATGCAGTGTGTGTGTTAGTGTAGTGAATGCAGTGTGTGTGTTAGTGTAATGAATGCGGTGTGTGTGTTAGTGCAGTGAATGCAGTGTGTGTGTGTTAGTGTAGTGGATGCAGAGTGTGTGTGTTAGTGTAGTGGATGCAGTGTGTGTGTCAGTGTAGTGGGTGCAGAGTGTGTGTCAATGTAGTGGATGCAGAGTGTGTGTTAGTGTAATGAATGCAGAGTGTGTGTTCGTGTAATGAATGCAGAGTGTGTGTTCGTGTAATGCAGTGTGTGTGTTAGTGCAGTGAATGCAGAGTGTGTGTCAGTGTAATGAATGCAGAGTGTGTGTTCGTGTAATGAATGCAGAGTGTGTGTTAGTGTAATGAATGCAGTGTACGTGTTAGTGCAGTAAATGCAAAGTGTGTGTGTGTTTACTAGTGTATGCATGTAATGTAATAATGTAAATGTAATCTGTTATTCCCCCCTCCCTGATTCTTACCTGGTCCAGGGAGGGGGGAGATTCCATGATCCCTGGTGGTCCGGTGGCATGGTAGGGCCCCCCAGCTCCCTATACTTGCAGAGGGGGCCCAGCGGACTGCAGCTGTACTTTACAGCATTTCCCTCTCTCTAACTCCCGCAAGATGTGGTGTGCGCGCCGCGCGGAGCGTTGCCATGGTAACCCATGGCAATGCTCTAACAGCCGCACGTCTCGCGGGAGTTAGAGCGAGGGAAATGCTGTAAAGTACAGCTGCAGTCCGCTGGGCCCCCTCTGCAAGTATAGGGATCCGGGGGCCCGCGGCTGCACCTATATATAGCTATCATCGCTATATATAGGTGCAGAGAGTAATTGTGGGGCCCCGGACTGCCAAGCAGTCCAGGCCCCCCAGGACCACCGGGCCTGTGACAACTGTTATGGTTGTCACCCCCTGATGGTGGCCCCTGGCCGGGGCAGCCAGTTAAATATCTAATACTGCTGTTCTCTCCCTGCCAGCTGCAAGGCATGAGTTTGTAAGCAGTACATTGATAGCGGCACAAGAAAATGACATCATATTACTGCTGCCTCAAAACTGTGCTTTCCTTCTGGGCCCAAACTGCTAGTTGTATATTGTTCTGTGCTGCTCTCAGTCCAATCTGTCATAACTCATGGAGCAGACTGGGCATTGATAGCAACACAGAAGTAGTCATTCTGGGCTCTGGGCTGCTTGTGCAGCCAAAGAGATTCCCCTGTCAATGCACATGGTGTAGAAACATGTTTTCTCCACCAATGCTCTACCCATTATATCTATAATATCTTAAAGTATTGCTATTAAAACAGTATCATTCTGATGTTGGCACTCAACGAGTCGAGTCAAATCAAATTAAGTTTGGGCCCCCTAGATGATTCTGAGCAGTAGCCAGCAGAGAATTATGGGAGTTGCAGTCAAATAAATCTGGATAGACAAAGTGGAACAATGATCTTTATTAATCCCAACCTGTTGTATTTATCAAAGACTTTTGACTGAAAAGAGTGGCAGACATTCACCGGAATTTTGAAAAGAAAAATATCTAATTGAAAGCTTTTATTGTACCGTGAATGCTTGGCTGCCCCGAGTTTCCAGCTATAATTCTTTGATATGAAAGCCACACTGTTGCTAAGCAAAAACAGTAAGAAATTGCCATTAAACGAAAACTAAAAAAAAAAAAAAAAGGTTTCTGTTTTGCCTGCTTTTCTTGCAGAGAAGATAAAATATCTGGACAGTCTCTTGCAGGCACCGGGTAAGTGACAAGATAGGAGCATCCAAGAAACAATGATGGCATACAAAATGTACCTGCAGGGTGGTGATTGACACATTGTTACTGCTGCATTGGCTAAATGGTTTCTTGAGTTGTAATTTACTTCTAAAGCTGCCGTTAACAATTCCAAGACCTGACCGTATGGTCTTCTTCCAAGAGTATCATTGTTTCCATATATTCATAAACAAAGATCCTTGATTTCTTAACAAAGACACCAGTATAGACTACATTATCAACAAAGAGAGATAAATGCATTCACAGAAGGTTGATGTGATACTGAAAAGAAACTTGTATGGACTGTCACATGAGGAACAGGCAGATATGAAAAAAATGTACTTACAAAGATTGATATTTTACTTAAAATAATCTCATCTAAAAATATTTTTGAAGAGACACTACAATCGCCAGAACAACTACAGCTTATTGTATTTGTTCTGGTGAGTAGAATCATTCCCTTCAAGCGTTTTGCAGTAAACACTGTCTTTACAGAGAAAATGCAGTGTTTACATTACAGCCTAGGGATTCCTCCACTGGCCACTCCTCAGATGGCCGCTCGAGGTGCTTCCTGTTAACCTCTACTAGTTCAGCTGGAAAGCTATTCCGTGCATCCACTACCCTCTCAGTAAAGTAATACATCCTGATATTATTTTTAAACCTTTGCCCCTCTTATTTAAGATTATGTCCTCTTGTTGTGGTAGTTTTTCTTCTTTTAAATATAGTCTCCTCCTTTACTGTGTTGATTCCCTTTATGTATTTAAATGTTTCTATCATATCCCCCCTGTCTCGTCTTTCTTCCAAGATATACATGTTAAGATCCTTTAACCTTTCCTTGTAAGTTTTATCCTGCAATCCATGAACCAGTTTAGTAGCCCTTCTCTGAACTCTCTCTAAAATATCAATATCCTTCTGGAGATATGGTCTATAGTACTGCGTGCAATACTCCAAATGAGTTCTCAATAGAGTTCTGTACAATGGCATGTGCTCTTCCCTCTTTCTGCTGCTAATACCTCTCCTTATACAAGCAAGCATTCTGCTAGCATTTCCTGCTGCTCTATTACATTGTCTGCCTACCTTTAAGTCCTCAGAAATAATCACCCCTAAATCCCTTTCCTCAGATGTTGAGGTTAGGACTCTATCAAATATTCTATACTCTGCCATTGGGTTTTTATCTCCAAGATGCATTATCTTGCACTTATCCACATTAAATTTCAGCTGCCACAGCTCTGACCATTTTTCTAGTTTACCTAAATCATTTGCCATTTGGCTTATCCCTCCTGGAACATCAACCCTGTTACACATCTTAGTATCATCAGCAAAAAGACATACCTTACCATGAAGACCTTCTGCAATATCACTAATAAAAATATTAAAGAGAATGGGTCCAAGCAATGGCGTACAAATAATCCATTGGACCCCCCATCTCGGTCCCCGACAGGCACACATAGAGACAGACACACAGACAGACAAACATAAATACAGACACACACACACACATACAGACAGGCAGGCATACATACAGACAGACACATACATACAGAGACACACACACACATAGACATATACATACATACACACAGACACATAC